GGGCGGGCGCAGCGGTCCGCGGCCGTCCAAGGGCTCGGGGGGCGCCGTCTTGGGCCCCTGCCGGTACCGCTGCATCGAGTGCAACGAGGAGGCGCGGGAGCTGTACCGGGACTACCGCCACGGCGTTCTGAAGATCACCATCTGCGTGAGCGCGGCCGGGCGGCGGCGGGGCCTCGGGTCGGGGACGCAGACTCCGTCAGGCCAGCGCGCGCCTTCGGCAGTGCCTGGAGGACCCGGAGGACGTTCCACTTGAGTGGCGGGTGGGGTGGCAGCACTTGGGGAAAGGCCAGTGCTGGAGGGCGAGCGAGGGCAAGTGAGCTCTGACGCTGAGGGCCCGTTGGTCGGCGGCTGCGAGGGGGAGTGGACGGCCACGCAAGTAGGGTGGCGCTGGGCGCTGCCCTTTCTGGGCCCCCTGTCATGGGGGGTATGCTTATCTTCCCCTGGCAAACTCTAAGGTCCTGGGGGCTAGAGACAGTGGCCCCAGGTCGTCCGGCGTCTTGGATGTGGCTGATCTCAGAGTGACTGAGAAGGAACTCTTGCTAGGAACGCACAGCCGCTCTCAGAGTGACTGTCGCTTGAAGGAGTGGGTGCACTAGGAACAGGAGCTTGTGCCGCCTGCTGCTGGTGTCTGCTGGCCTACTTCTAAAGATGGGGTTTAGAGAACTTCTGAAGGACAGGCAGGGACCCATTTAGAAATGCAGGAGCATTCCACCATGAAGGGAGGACATGTGCTCTGCAGGAATAGCATGGGAGGGGTCTATGAGAGAGCCTTGCCTGTGAATATGGGGTTGTTTCTGTTTAAAGCTGACACTCTTTGCTCAGGTAGAGAGCCGCAGAAATATGAACTCCTGCCAGGCACAGTGGCTGGTGCCTGTAACCCCAGGTCCTTGAGGATGGCAGAGGCAGAAGCAATGCAAATTCCTGGCCACCCTGGACAACTTAGCAAAACTGTCTCTAAGTAAAATGTTTAAAAGGGTTAGGATTGTAGCTCAGTGGTATGGCACCCCTCCAGCATGTGCTAGGTCCTGGGTTCAGTCTCCAGCCCCATAAAATCATTCATTCATTCGTTCACTATGACTTCCCGGCCTCTGTTTCATTGGTTGGATTTGAGTTTGGGGAGTGGCACATCTTCCTTGCTGATTTACTTGGGGATTGGACAAACAAGCCTATTTCCTGTAATGACATGAATGAAGTAGAGAAGCTCTTCAAATTGGAATTGAATCCAAGTTCTTATTGAAGCACAGGATTAATAATCTTCTAGTGTTTTGGTGTAACTAAAAGGCCATCCCAGTGTGTTTGTATACTAGTTGCTTCTCCTTCCATTTCTGTTTTATCTAGTCAGAGTTTCAAAATGTCTCATTTGAATTGTAGCCACCAGTCTTTTTGCAGTGAATTGTAGCACTGACATAGCTTTGTAATTAGCACTGTATCACAAGTCCATGTTCTGCTGGTACTGGATGTGACTACATTGTAGTCAGGTGTCCAGAGAACCCAACTCTATTGAACCTGGTGATCTTTGTGAAAAGCCATTTAGCAGCACATGCTATGGACCCAAGAAAGCAGTGATTGGTGACCTAGGCCCAGGCCACACACCCCTCTTCTCAGAAGCTGAGTAAAGAGCAGGACACCATGCCAAGAATCCTGAGCCAACGGGCCCGGGGAAGCTTGGGTATTCCTTGTCAGCACTGAGAACAGGAAGGAACATGGGCTCTCTGCTACAGTAGAGATGGCGAAGGGTGTTGCGCAGCCTGGAGTGAGACCATGGCTGAACACCCTTCTCCAAATCATGTTTCAGGACCACAACATTGGGGCCATCAAGCCAATGGCAACAGTCAATCAGCGAAGGACACTATAGGGTTGTCTTTTAACAATTCCTATAGATCAAAGGTAGAATTAAAAGTAGAATCCTCTGGGAATTAGCCTTTAAGTTGACTATCTTTTAGCTTCCCAAATATGATGTTAAAATTCATATTTCTAGCCTAGAAACTTATATTTAGTCCCTTGTAAAGCCACATCTTACATATAGGAACATTTTTATCTGAATGGAAGTATACCTAAATGTGGATGTGGCCTTATTGCTCTACAAGTTTAAAAGTCCACTAAGATTTCTGAATGTATAAATTTGCTTGTTCTAACATTATATTATCTTGTGTTATTTCAGAAATCCTGCCAAAAACCTGTAGACAAATACATTGAGTATGATCCTGTTATCATCTTGATCAATGCTATTTTGTGCAAAGCCCAGGCCTACAGACATATACTTTTCAATACCAAAATAAATGTGAGTTGTGGAAGTTTTTTAATGTTACTTGGTGATGCTTTTGAATTTTGAAAGACTAAAGTGTAAGAAATTCTGACTGGAGTATGAATCTTTTCTCACAATGGCTGGAAATTTCTAGAATTAACAGATGTGGATGCACTGCATGGTGTGAGCTTGGGCTACTGGCAGGATTCAAACAATTAGTTGTGATGGCTCTTCAGTGGGCTACCTATTGAATGGGTTCTCAACAGAATGAAATCAAACAGCTGGGTAGGGAAAGAATCATACCTAAGAGAAATAAACAAACATTAAAAGAAAACTATGAAAAACATAATTTGTTCCATTTCACACTAAGGAAATGTATGAGGTGAATAACAACACTGAGTTGTTAGGAAAGTCCTAACTTTTAAAGTAGTTTTCAAAACATAATCTAGTGTATTACATGGTAAACGCATGAGTAGTTTGAGTAGGATTGATGGGTAAAATACAGGACACTCAGTACCTTTGAAAATCAGAAAAACAAAAGTATGTACCAAATGTTGCATGGAACACACTTGTACAAATTATTTGTTGTGTATATGAAACCTAAATTTAACTGGGTGTCCTATATTTTCCTTTACTTGATTTAGCAACCCTAAATTTGCCCTAAGATAGATATTAACAATTGATTTATCCCTGCCCCATCTCATAGCTGAGTCACCAGAGCATTGATTCTGAGCCTCGGCTGCACATCTAGGACCATCTGGTTGGCCAGTGGAAAGGGAAACATTCCAAGGCCTCCTGGCATCTGCGTGGTCACAGCTCCCCAGGGGTTCCAGGCATCCCTGTGCCCATTGAGAGCCTCCAAACATGCTGGACTCGAGCATGGGTCACACTGGTTGGCATAGGGGCAGAGGCTCGATTCCTAGGAGGAGCTGGGAGAGGGCAGTTCTTACTGCTCAGTAGTCCCTGTTGACCATCAGACATTCAGCTTAGTTTTCCTTTTAACCGTTTTCTTTCAGTATTGATTTGTATTCATCCATCCAGAGGCTTTTTTTTTAGTTCATGTTTAGACCAACAGTTCCTTATGTGCTGCTTGGAACCTTCAGATTAAATGTATTCTCTGACTGTTGTCTGCACCTATATGTGGGTCACATAAATTTTGTGTCAAAAATGTAACAAATGGTGAGCTATTTAAATCAATGATTCTTATGTATATGTTAGAGTTCCCCTAAGAATTGCTATAAAATATATACGTCTAGGTTTTAATATCAAAGATTCTGACTTAGGACTGTGGCCCTGATATTCTTAAATTGAAAAAAATCTCCCTATGTGATTCCAGTGGCCATTGCTGATTAAGAACCTCTGATTTGGATCCCAGCACAGTGGCGCATACCTATAATCCTAGCTGCTTGGGAGGCTGAGGCAGGAGGATTGTGAGTTCAAAGGCCGCTTCAGCAGATTAACGAGGCACTTAGCAACTTGGCAAGACTCTGTCTCTAAATAAAATATAAAAAAGGGCTGGGGATGTGGCTCAGTGGTTAAGTGCTCCTGGGTTCAATCCCCAGTATCCCCCACCAAAAAAAAAATAGGGCTGGAGGTGTGGTTCAGTGGTTGAGTGCCCCTGAGTTCAATCCCTGGCACCCCCACCCCCAAAAAAGGACCTGTGATTTAGGTTAGGGCTGTAGTTAATGGCAGAGCGCTTGCTTCCCTGGCACATGTGAGGCACTGGGTTTGACCCTTAACACCACATAAAATAAAGGCATGTTATTCTTCTATAACTACAAATAAATAAATAAACCAAACCTCTGATTTGCTGAGCACAGTAACACACACCTATAATCCTAGTGACTTGGGAGTCTGAGGCAGGAGGTTTGCAAGTTTGAGGCCAGCCTCAACAAATTAGCAAGACCCTATTAAAAAAAAAAAAAATAGGCCAGCGGTAGGTAGCTCAATGGTAAAGCACCCCTGGGTTCAATTCTCAATATCACAAAAGAGCCACTGATTTTCAGAATAGCTACAACTGGCCACTTTATTGGGCAATTCTGAATTTGAAAATGGTCGACAGGGGACAGTCTTCAAACCTACAGCTGTGCCTATAGATACTCGGTATAACTGAGTGCTTCTTTACCTGATTGAGTGGCATTGTCTTTGACCTTTAGATCCATGGAAAACTCTGCATGTTTTGCTTGCTTTGCGAAGCATACCTGAGGTGGTGGCAGCTTCAAGATTCAACACAGAACACTGCTCCTGATGACTTGATCAGATACGCCAAAGAATGGGACTTCTATCGGATGTTTGCCATTGCTTCTTTAGGTAAGGAGACGCCTACCTTTCCATTCTTATAAACCTAGTACTTAACTATTTTGGCACTGTGGTGCATTCCTGTTATCTCAGCGGCTCAGGAGGTGAGACAGGAGTTCAAAGCCAGCCTCAGCAACTTAACAAGTCCCTAAGCAACTTAGTGAGACCTTGTCTCAAAATAAAAAGGGCTGGGGATGTTGCTCAGTGGTTAAGCCCCCCTAGGTTCAATACCTGGTACCAAAAAACAAAACTAAGACAAATGGTTTTAATCCTTGGCAAGAGAGATAGTTAATATAGCACTTGAGACTAAATTTTCAGCTCTACCACTACCCTGCTAGGTGAATTCATCTAAATCACCTACTTTCTTATATGTTAACAAACGTGCATAGGAATAGTCATATTTAATATTAGAAAGTTTCATAAAATGTTTTGAAACGTTGATAAAAGTTGTAATTTTAAATTTCTGATTATCCAATTTGAAGATTATTAAACCCCATCTTTATTAAAAAACAGACTGACATTACCCAATGCATTAGCCAGCTGCTTAGTACTAATGCAATATATTGAACAGGGAAAGCTTGCAACTTAACTGCCTTGTTCCTTGGGGAAATTGGCTAACCTGCCCGCCCCCAACACATTTATGTTTGGAAAGTTCTTTCTTCAGCATCAGATTTGTGACTTGTCCTTCTAGGGTCAGAATTATGTGAAATTGATTTCTGTGGCTATTTTCATACTAATTTCTATGATTCTCTGCTGCTCAATCCTTCAATTAAAGCTGGGCACAGGCACCAACTAGAGTCCCAGCTTCTCAGACAACTGAGGCCAGAAGATCACTTGAGCCCAGGAGATCAAGGCAGCCTGGGCCACACAGTGAGACCCCCTATTTTAAAAAAGAGTTTTGGCTGGGCACGGTGGCACAAGCCTGTAATCGCATGCCTGTAATCCCAGCAGTTTGAGAGGCTGAGACAGGAGGATCGTAGGTTCAAAGCCAGCCTCAGCAACAACGAGGTGCTAAGCAACTCAGTGAGATCCTGTTTCTAAATAAAATACTGCTGGAGATGTGACTCAGTGGTTGAGTGCCCCTGAGTTCAATCCCTGGTCCCCCCTCCAAAAAA